ATATATATATATATATATATATATATCTTCAAAAACTTTAAATGTTTTAATTACATAACATAGATATCGCTGAGCATGCACTATTTAATTTCTAATTTTTTTATTTCTCATTACATTTTATTTTTATTTCTTCCTATAATATAAATCGCGGAAAAACGACAACAATGAATTTTGATACATTCAATTATCAATTTAATAAGTTTATTTTTATTATCTATTTTTATATTATTGAAAAAAACATGACGTTTCAAGTTTTAAATGTTTCATCATAATTTATTTTTATTCTCATACATCGTCGATCAAAGCTTATTATGCATGAGAGAATGTATAAAATTAATCGTAGTCTGTTTATCTCATGCATGTATATAATTGATCTGCTATTACGCAAGAGTTAGATTCAAGTAAAATAAGGAATTAAACTTTTTAAAAATTAAACGATTAAATAGTAAAAAATTAGTTTTTTACTTAACAATCTTGGTAGAAATTTAATGCAATTTTTTATTGATTACTAGGCAGTTGCACCGACTTTTATCTAGTAACTGAATAGTGAAACTCTTCAGGATATCAATCCAGATATAACGCTTTTCTCGCATAGTAAAGAAGTACAAAATCTGAATTTAGTTATTGATAAGTAAGAGGATAAATAAATAGATAAAAAAAGCTATGTAATCTAAATGCTTAGCGCCGAAACACTACCAGTGTCTCCAGATTATATACACGAGTAGGAAAGACCAGAGACAAAAGTAACAAGGGACAATAATAGCATTGTTAATATTTCTTAAACTATAATAAATATGTGTATGCGGCTGCATGATAAAATTTATAGACAGATCGGCATTAAATCGTTCGTTACGTACTGATTTTCGCGGAACATACACGAGCAGACTTATTGTTACTTTTTTCATGTATCAAGTAAGTTTTATTGCATGCACAATCTAAAATATTTTTTTTCTTTATAACGGTATAATGTACCGTTATTGAGATCCGATAATCTCGACTCTGACACAACTCGCCAGTAAGTAACTTCGCGTAAAGGAGGCACGGCAGTGTCTCGCGCCATACTTACAATTAGCGCCGAGACACTATCGTGTCTCCAGATCATAATATGTTTTAATGATTATCTGCGTTGATAGTTTGCACATCTGAATTAATTTTTATTTAAAAATTTTTATTTAAAAAATTTACATTTAATTTAATTATTTAATTTATTATTTAATTTAAATCATAAAATATCATTAAGGGATAATAATAACATCAATATCTGGGGTCAGTATTGTAACATTACAATTATCCTCAAATTTACTTAATTTTATTTTAATATTATTTTATACAATGTTATTTGTATTTTTTTTTTTTTTTCATAGATTCCATTAACAAGAAAACACAAGACAGATAAGAGAAAAACATATATAAAAGAAGTGTTTTTATTCAAACAGCATTTAAAGAAGTTATAAAGGACCAATTATATAAAAAGAGTATGACTTATGTACCTCTGGAAAATGTAGTACAATTATCCCCCTCTACTGTTATAATCATTACTATCGTCCCCGGTAATAGACATTACAGAGATACAGAGTGTTCCATTTTAATTGATACAACTGGTCTTGAAAATAAAATATTAAAAAAAAAAAAATTTTATATGAAAGAAGTTGTAGGGGAGGGGTTTAACTCTTATGTGGCCAACCAAAAAATCTTGTACCGGGGCCAACCGAGGTACCCGGGTACCTCTATACAAATTTATGGCTAAAAACGTACTGTAGCCTTAGTTATCTTTATCTATTTGATGGATATTGATTTATTTACCTGGTTGGCCTGGGGAGGTACTTTTTTTGAAACTCGAAATTTTTTGTGAAAATAAATAAAAAAAAAACTTTCTAATGCATAATTTTATAGGAAATCGGTCAAATAATGGGGATCCGAGACGATTTTAGCCAATATTTTTAAGAAAAAAAGTTATTCAACAAAATGTGCGACCACATAGGTACCCGGGTACCTGGTTGGCCACAGTAGGGTTAAGTAGCAAATTTTACATCAAAATTAGTATGACTTGGATAACATTATTAAGGTCACGTAAAAATCATAAAATTTTTAAATAGAAATTTTTAATTTTAATTGCATATTTTTGTAACTAACTTCGAAAGCTTTACGAATCACTATAATAAAGTAATATTTCATTAAATATTTTTCAAGTTATGAGACTTGAAAGTTACCTTCGACATTATCAAGGTCTTTACGCTATCTTGATTGCGTGAAGTTTCTATTATTAACTCTCATTTCAATTTTTTGTAAAACATTAGAACATAAATAAAAATATTATTATAAATTATAAAAACATAATTTTTTTATTGATGGAAAATTAGATGATATCAATACTCGTATATTAATGAATGCTGAATGAAAGTGAGAACGGAGAGGAAAGGGAACGGAGCTAGAGGGGGAATATAAGAGTCAAGTAGAAACAAGAATTATTTGATTTCGTTAGTTCGACAAACGTAATCTTCGAGAATCGTACGTCAAAATACATTGTGTAATAGATGTGGCCAAATAACGATTTTTAAAGGACAAAACAAAAACGTGCAAAATCTGTGTGGACAAGTCTTAAAAATTTGATTCATTAGACGTGGAACAGTATCCGGTTGAATATTTAAAAATCAAAACAAAAAATCTGAGAGCGAAGTCTAAACACGATCTTTACTTGGGACTTGTCAACATTGAAGGAACTCACTAGTATTGGAAGAACTTGCCGACATTGGAGAAACTCGCTCTCAACACTTAGATTACGATAGAAATACAATTAAAGGTAACAATTGCAAGAGCATTGGATTTTTCTCTTTCCTTCGCGCTTTGCTCCAAATATAACATAATTATTAGTTATGAATAATAAATTTGTCGTAAACTTTATACGCGTCTTACGTTGTACACACGGACATTTTATTAATATGAGCCAAATTTTAAATGCGATCTCTTTCCCAAATTAAATTCCTTTAACACCGATTTAATTGCTGCTTTCTTCGATCCATTTACCCACAAATTAACTCTTAATTTTAATTATAAAACTTAAATTTAGTTACATTTATATTTTGTGCTTTTAATAAAAGAATAATAATTCGATAAATATATATCTATAGTGAGTTAAACACTGAAATTTCGTAATAGTGTGAAGTTTGGTATAAAGCCTTGCCAAACATACTAAACATGTAAATATAGTGTGAATGGAGGTAGCAATAAGACCGCGCCCTTCAATACAACCTCGAATTTCGTGGTTTGGAAGTGAAATAGGCAACTTTATTCAAACGGACCGCACTTTATTACGAAGTTCTACTGTGTGTAAAATTCTTTTGTATCAACATAACGGCGCAATAATTAATTAATAATTTCATCATACATGTGTAATATAGACACAAGGATTCTTATTTTTTACACTTTACACAAACAAATTAATTATTAAACAGTTGTTTACCTTATCATACTAAATTAAATCTTTAACTAATTAAACCTTTGCAAGGATCTTCTCAAGGATCAATTTCACGGTTTCTCTCTGGTTTCACCAACATCAATCTTGATCGACTCATTAAATTTGAGAGTTGTCAACTACTAAACTAAAAACATATCATCTATAACCTAATTTTTTATAAACTCGCCCATTGACTGGATTCTATTGTACTTAAATAACGTAATTATAGCGTATTCAAATTATTGACTCGACTGCGAGTCAACGATCTGTTCTTTTTAATTATTATACATTTCTTGCATAATTAAGTTCTTTTTTACGAAACAGAACAGACCATTGATTCAGAGTCACGTCGAGTCAGTAAATCAAATATGCTATTAATTGAGTGCCTCTGAAAATATATCTAAAATATTATTTTAGATACATTTTGATAAGATACAAAGTAAAACTGGTTACAGTTACAGTTACGGAGTTAAGAAATGTAAGTATTATACATACAAGTTACATACAAAGATGCACAAAAAGTATTTAAATACAATGACTAAGTACATGTATCTAGGTACCTTACTTATCACTGGTAACTAGTAATAAAAAGAATAATTAAAACGCAGCATGATAAATAAAATAAAAATTTTAAAAAGACAATATGCAATTTGATAGATGCAATTATATATTTATATAAATTTCAGTAGCTTTTTTTCTTAATCATCCTCTGCGTAATAATTTAAGTGAATACATTAATCGATATTTTTAAAACGTATATATCATCAGACAATCATTTCTTCACTCAAAGAAAAATATCCAAACCAATTGAACAGCTGATTGAAAGGCAATTATGCAACCATGAGTAAAGAATACTTATTATATACTTTTTTTGTTGTATGTTTTTGCATTATTCTTACGTCAAGAAGCATCTCATAATCATTCTAATCGATCGACAAAGTTGCTTACTCATTTAGTCACTTCAACAAGATGCTCATTTTTAAAATATTGATCAATGTGCCCGCTCAAAATTATTGCTGAAGGTAACTCAAATGTGATCCAAAATGTACTGAGTTTCGTACTAATTATACAATTATATATTTCGTCTTTTTTAAATTTTTGCATTATTTACTTATTACTGCACAAAATTCCTTTTGTACTTGTTGTTTATTTAATATTTTCGAATCTCTATATATCTTATATTTATTAAAGTTTATTTCCTATTTAAATTACTTATATTTAAATATATGTATAATGTATATAATGTATATATTATATAAATATGCATTCACTATTTAAAAAACTATAACAAATAATTTATTCTTTGATCAGAAATTGAAACATCAAACACAGCTACATTTGATGAATTTATATATCTGCACATATTAATGTTACATTCTATTGCTTCAGAAAACCTTGAGAGCTGAAGCTATCGTGTATAGTACGATCAAACTGCATAATCGTTGGAATACTAAACGATCAAGATGTTTTTCTATCTACTTAATGCATTCAGTATTGTATTATTTGGATTAGCATATGGAGAACTTACTTTCCGTAAGTCTTTTTTAATAATTCTTTTTCATTTTTTTTTTCTAACTGAATTCCGTGAATCACAAAATCTGATCGAAAAATGTCAAATTGCGTAATCGCGCTTTTCTTATTTCATTCAAAAAATGCCAAGCAACATTGCGTAGTTTTCTTAACGGTCATAACAGTAATCACCATTAATTATGCAATTGATTTAGTATACCTATGTTAATCAATTCCAGTTTAATAAACTAGTTTTTTAAGCACAATAATGCATTAAAATACGAAAGTACCAGTTTGTTGAATCTATGATGCGAGCAATTTATCATACTACGCAGTACTTAAGCAGTTAATAATATTATCACATATTGACATCTATAAATCTGTATGTATCGTTCTATTCTCATAAAATATTTACTGTACAAAATCAACGTCAAGTTGTCATAAAAATGTCTTCAAATAACAGATATATTATATTATACAATTTTAAGATAACATATATACAAGTAAAAATATATTCTAATACATAATTACACGATCAGCTATACAAACTTATGCTGAAATACTAAATTAAATATTGTGACAGCTACTCTTCTGTATTTATTAATCGTTTTATTATAAAAAGTAATTTTTTCGCTAGATACGTGTTTTGTATTTTTTTGAGGAAAATTAATGTTCTTATTCATATTTATGAATAATGGCTTTTAATAGTGATAACACGTACAAATCATGAGTATTATAAACGATGAATTGCATATCGTAATATTATTAACTACATTATTTAAAAAAAAAGTGAAAAAATATTTGTATATGCGTTTTCTTTATTATAAAACATAATAAAATGTGTTGAATAGCTTATACATATATACTTGTCAAAAAGATAGATACTTTTAAATCTTTTAATATGAATTATATTTTATTAAAACAATTTATAAATTTTTATAATTTTACTAATTCATTTTATTTTATATACTTTTATTTAGCTGCAACCATCTGCAAACAAGATTCAGTTGATTATTCCGCTTGTTTAAAACAAGCTTTTAAAGAAGCATTTCCACGGTTTGTCAAAGGTATCTTTATTAAAAATATATAAGTTCTGTTATTTTAATTTATACGTATCTTTTAAATAAAATATGTTTATTTATATTTAAAATTACACTACTGCGATATGAACAGAATATTACGAGAAATATTATCAACGTTAACATTAAATAAAATTTCATAAATCTATAAATTTATGAATTGTAATTTCACTTTATTTAAAGCAGATTAAAAATAATTAAAAATTTTTTGATCTGTTTACTTAAAAATGTGAATATAATGGTCATTATAAATATTCATTTTGTAGGACTTCCAGAATTTGATCTTCCACCAGTGGATCCATTATTTTACGAATACGGCAAAGTTGTATTTAATTCAGGGGATATACACGCAGAAGTTGCTTTGACAAATACTATTATAACCGGTTTGGCGAAGATTCAAGTTAATGACATAAGACCACACTTTCTTGATGACGTTTTCCATTTAGAAGTTGATGCACTAGCACCGAAATTAATCCTAAAAGGTGTTGTGAAGATGAATGGTACTCTAGGTATATTCAGAATTGCTAGTGAAGGTATGATAATAAATTCTGCACAGTCTGCATGAATAAACAAAGCTACATCATTTATTTTGTTAAACATAATATTTATACGTTCAAAATTAGTCATATTCGTGTAAAGTATAAAATTCTTTAAATAAAGAATTACGACAATTCGATTTGTTACAACCTCATTATTAATCAATTAAAATAATAATAATAATAATTTAATTCGTAAACTAAATAGTATACATATAAAAATGTATGTTTATTATATATTTTAATACCGTTTTTCATTGACAGAACTGGTGTGCACTCAATACACATTAAAACCGTTGTACACTGATTTGAATGTAAAAGTAAGATCTCAATTGATAAAATACTTGATGTACATTTTATCAAATAACATAATAAAATGTATTGAAGATCTCGCGGTTTAACTCGTTTCTATATTTTAATTTTAAACATACATTTTTACGCCGATTTATAAATCGACTTTAAGATCATCGAGTGCGCACCAGTTCTACCAATAAAAAATAATATAAATCTAAATATATTTTAAATTCTGTCCCGATAAAATAATAATTATAAGTAATACTGACAAGTACTGTTAAATATTAAAGTATTAAATGTACTTAAATATTATATAATGTTTCTTTAATTTAATTATTCTTAAAAAATAGTATTAATTATCAGAAAGTTTGCGGCAATAATCCGCAAACTCTTTGATACCATTGAAGTAAATACTCGTGAAAAAGTATTAAATTTTTATATCTATCGTTATTTTATTCAAAAATATTATTAACGCTTAATATACACGATGATTGTATAATATACATTTTTTATATTATTATATTATAATTTATGTAGGTCCCTTTAATTTGACTGCTAATGATGTTGACGGAACATGGGATATGGTAGGACATGTAGTAAATGATACATGGATTATAGAACATGTCCGTGTACTTCCATCAGTTAGAAAACTTAAACTATATTTTGATTTGTTCCAAGACAATAAAGAGATTAGTGAGTATTAAATTAAGTTATAGATATAATTACTCTCTTACTATTTTATAATATATATTAAATAATATTGTAATAATAGAAAAAGACTTAATTTACCATTTAAATGTAAATCTTATTAAAAGTTTGTTTAAAATAATTTTAAAAAATTGATAATAAGTAATTGATAATGTATATACATATATATACATTTTATAAAAATAATTTGATATACCATGAAATCAAAAAGTATATGTAATTAAATATTTTTTATTTTAAAAACTTATTTTTAAGAAAATTTCTCCGAAAATCTTGTATATATAGACGAAGTATTAGAAAACTTTTCGCGGTATAATACATTAATTACAAATTATATAATAATGCAGTTATTAAATTAATCATTGATTTAAAAAAAAAGTAAAAAAGTAAAAATATTATTTAATTGTATTTAAAAATTATTATTATTTATATTAATTTATATTTATATTTATATTTATATTATATTATTTATTATATAAAAATTGTATTTAATTATTTTTTACCTTAATGTTTTTATTTATTTTTTCAAACAGAGGATTAGAAAACAAAAATAATTATTTATATAAATATAATTTTACATTTGTGATTATACTTATATTGTAATTATAATTTATCATATTTATTTGTTTCTCTTAAATAATATTGTTATATATCAATTTTTAATTTCAGATGATATTGTCATAAGTTTTGCAAATGAATTTTGGCCACCATTGTATCGAGTAATGTTACCAATAACATCTGAAGCATGGGATCCATGGTTGACTGGCATGGTTAATAAGTTATTTTCAAAAGTTTCTTTCTCAAAAGTATTTCCATAAAATTCATATATTTTATATACATTAAGAAATATAAATAAGTAACAAGAAATTAGAGTACCATATGATAAAGAACCAATTTATACTATTAAATTTTTTTAAGTTCTTTAAGTTTAAATTTTATAAAGTGAAAAGAAGGAAGAAATAAGAGAAAAAAGTGTATGTTTTATTAATCAATATGCAACATTAATTTTCTAGATTTCTTTAGTAATATTTTCTTTTATAAGTTTCGGTTACAGTTTTGTCATTTTTTTTCTTTAATTTCGAAATAAATTCTTTCTGTAAAAAATAAATTCTTTTTGCAAATATAAATTATATTGAAATTCAATATTTATTCAACAATATTAAATTTCAATTTTTGCAAAGAATGCCACAATGTGTATATCATATTCATATGCATTTTGTCATCGCATTTAATTGGTTAGAAATAAAGAGAGTGCAATGAAACTTTTTTTATTCAATTTACGCTCAAATTTCATTGATTAATGAACCATATACGGACGTGAAAAATTATTTAATTTGTAACCTCAGTAGAAAATAAAGATCTTTTTTGGATATAGCTCTTCATTCCGTACATGTTAAATTGGTATTTATAACACTGTATCTTCAGAAGAGATTTAGTAGAATAAAAAATATATTATATATATATATAT